GTTGCTTGAACCCAGGAGGTGGAGGTTGCAGTGAACCAAGATCGTATCAATGCACTCCAGCCTGGGCAACACAGTGAGACTCTGTCTCAAAAAAGAAAAAAGAAAAAAAAAGAGAAGGAGAAGGGATAGATTCAGAAAAATTCAGCATGTTAGCAGGAATTGATTAATCCACATCCGGAAGCTATGACCTCAGGGTCCTAAGGGAACGGTGTAGCGATGGAGTTTTGATGGGGCAGAAGAACCTTTACCAATTCTATTCTCTGATAGATAGTGATGGTACTCATGAGGCTCTCAGGTAAATAATTACAGTTATGCTATTGCTGAGTAGTTACCTATAACTCCCCAAGTTGTCTTTCAAAAAAGAGAGATGAGGGTCTCCCTTTGTCATCTGGGGTGGAGTGCAGTAGCAAGATCATAGCCAGCTGTAACCTCCAACTCCAGGCTCCAAGGATCCTCCTGCATTAACTTCTCAAGTATCAAATTGCTTTTTGAATGCATAGTCATGATTTTTAATTCCAGTCATTTGTTTTATTTCTTTAATTTGGTGTGGGGGGGACTTTGGGTTTAGAGAGTAGCATTACTCATCTTCCTCTGTTCCTGGAATATAATTATCATCATTCTTTGCAAAGTCATTTTCTTGTATTATTATTTTATTTTTTCTTCATTATCCAGGTCCCTATTCCTATCTCCCCAACCAGCACCGGAAGTTATAGTGAAGTGCTCAATCTGAGACCTTGAGTGTGTATGTGTCTGTGAGGAATAGTGCATTTTCTATATATAGCATTTGATAAAATTATGCAGAATTTAAAACATTTACATAAAAGGAAAGCCTAATGGATCTCTGTGTAGCTGTCACTCAGCTGCAATAATTTTCAACTCATGGCTAATTTCTTTTCCCTATCTGTTGTTTTCCTACTCTTCTCCAGATTTTTTAAAGCAAATCCCAGACATAATATCATTTAATCTATAAATATTTCAGTATGCATTTCCTTTTGAACCCTTTGCATCAGGAAGCAAAGGTGCAATACATTACAATTTGTTAATATGTTTCTGAAATCTCTTTTAGCCTATAGGTTCTCATTCGGTTCCTTTTTGTCTTTGACAGTTCTTTATTCTTGAAGAAACTCAGTCATTTGTCTAGTAGTTTCTAACAATTGTTTTGTTGATTGAATCCTTGTGAGAGTGCCTGACACATTCCTCTGTCTCCACTGTAAGTTAGAAGTTAGATCTGGAGGTTTGACCAGATTCAGGTTTAACGTGGGGGAGGCCAGACCACATCATAGGTGGAAGTATATCCTTCTATCGGAGGCAATGTGACGTCTAGTTCGCTTGTGTTGTGAGTAGCCCTTAATGATCATTTGTTATATTTAATTCATTAGAAAATCTAAAATGGGGATAACCTCGTTTTATCATTTTCTGTGTTTATTAGCTGAAACACAACTGAAAGGGAAGCTTTCTTCACCAACTTTTGTGTAGGAAAAGTAGAATAAATGCTTGGCTCTTTCTTTTTATTAACAGTTTTTAAAAGAATGAGTTGATTGCCAAGGGTAATCAATGACTTTTTTTAAAAAAGTATCACAGTGAATCGATAGATTTAAACTAATTTAATGTGTTTCAATCAACTGTATTTTCCTTAATGGTTCTCAAATTGCCCCTTCCTTGGCTAGCAGAAAACTGTTCAAGTTGGCTTCTGAGTTCATTTGACGTGACTATAGACGTCTTACTTTCTGAGAGGTTTGCTAGATATTGTTAAATTCTTGTCCCCAGGAGGTTATTTCATTTTGTCTTTCCACAAGATTTGCCAGCAGAATGTAATTCTGAAATTAGATTTTTACTAATTCAACTGGCGAGAGATGATATCTTAGTGTAGTTTTAATTTGCTTTTCTCTTATTACAATCGAGGATGAACATCTTTTCATAGTGTTAGGAGCTATTTGCATTTTTTCCTATGAACTCTGAGTTCGTATCTTTATATATATTTTATTATATATTACATGTTACATAAAAATGTTTTTGGCCTCTTCTCTATTTTTAGAAGGTCTCCATATATTAAGAATAGTAACCTTTTGTTTATGAATAAATTGCAAACAGTTTTTTCTATTTTGCCATTTGTCTTTTTTCTTTATGGTATTTTTTTTTTTTTGCCATGCAAAAGTTAAAAAAATTTTATGTAATAAAATTTATCAATTTTTAAAATTGCTTCTGGGTTTGAGTCATAGGAAGGTTTCCCCTACTCCGAGATTATAGAGGAATTCACCCATGTTTTCTTCAACTCTTGTATGGTTTCATTTTTGAATATTTAAATCTCGGCTCCATTTGGAATTCATTCTGGAGTACAGTTTAACCCATTTATGCCTAGTGTTTCATTATTGGAATGCTAAGCATGTGGCTGTTATATTCTACTGCTCAAGCTCATCACCAAGGTCTGATTTTTCACTCTTACAAAAATTCGAAAAATTGCAACCTCTGGCATAGCAATGGATCTAATCTTATCTTTTTCCTTATGGTTATATAGTTATACAACTTACTAGAAAGTTTGCATTTCCTCTGCTACATTGAGATGCTGTCTTTGGCATTATTAAATGTTTGTACACAATGGGGTCATTTTTCAGATTTTATTTTCTGTTCATGTTGACGATACCAGTGAATTTTAAAGTGGAGGCTTCTGGTAGGGTCGAATTCTGACAGGATTGCTCTTCCCCTCTTTCTCACCTCAAACCATTGTTCTTAATTTTTAGATCTCTCTTGGCAATTCTTTCTTATTTGTTTTTACAAATGACTTTTTTTTTTTTTTTTTTTTCTGAGACAGAGTTTTGCTCTTGTCACCCAGGCTGGCATGCAGTAGCGTGATCTCAGCTCACTGCACCCTCCGTCTCCCAGGTTCATGTGATTCACAGGCCTCAGCCTCCTGAGTAGCTGGGCTTACAGGCACCTGCCACAAAGTCAGGCTAATTTTTTTGTTTTGTATTTTTAGTAGAGACGGGGTTTTGTCATGTTGCCCAGGCTGATCTCAAACTCCTGAGCTCACGTGATCTGCCCACCTCAGTTTCCCAGAGCACGGGGATTGCAGGTGTGAGTCGCAGTGCCTGGCCACAAATGAACTTTATGTTATACTTATCTAACTCAAGATAAAAAATTATTTGATGATATTTTTATTGAGATTGCATTACACTTAGAAGGTATAAAAAATGGAATCTTTAGGATGGTAAGTCTTCCAATTGACATGGTATCTCATTTCATTTATTCAAGTCTACTTTTGTTTCTTCCAGATTGTTTTGTAGTTTTGCTCACATAAATTTTGGCCTAGGTATTTTATTTTTGCCACAGTAAAGTGAGGTTTTCTCTTTTATTATACTTTGAATTGGGTTTCTTTGTGTATAATAATTTTAATTCTTGCTACTTTACTAAGTGTTCTTATTTGTGGCGGTTTTTCTATTGATTCTTTGCAATTTTTGAGATTATATTATATGTAAATAGACTTTACCTCTGTCCTTTCAATTCTTATTCCTCTAGATTCTTTCTGTTGCCTAATTGCTTAGTTTAAACACAATGTTAAATAGAAGAAGCGATGGTGCTTGTCTTGTTTCTGAATTTTGAAGAGACTCCTTTGGTTGTTTCCATTTCGTAAGATGCTGGATTTGGGTTTTTGTCTGGTGGTTTCTTTTGTTTTCTATAATCGCTTCTTTTCTCTCTCTTTTCTTTTGCTGAATCTATTTTGAAGTCATAGTCATTTACTCCCAATAAATCCCATAAGGCAATCAGTGAGCTTATTTTATTCTTCACATACTCTTTCCAACCTCATTCTGTTTTTTAATTGTCGTATCACATGGAAACTGTCACATAGCTCTAACACACTACCATTCATATTCTTATGCGTTCCCCCATGTAACTATAATTTAGCCAGGGACTTACTAATAAATCCACATTTACTATTAAACTATTATTTTCTAATTGTTTGCAACTGATATCTAAAAGTAGAATTACTTTTTAGATATCGACCTTATATCTTACAACCTTGCTAAGTTTGTTTATAAATTCTACTAGATGTTTTATAGTTTCCTATAAAACTTTCTACATAAACAGTCCTGTCTATTTCATTGCAGATACTCCCTACCTCTGAATTCATTACGAGCATATTTTCCTTTACATCACTGAGTATGGTTATGCCGTGTAAAACTGCATTAAATTCCTTGTCTGGGAAGTCTAACTTCTGGGTCATCTCAGAGTCGGCATCCTGTCGATTATCTTTTCCCTTGAGAATGGCTCATGTCTTCCTGAGTCTTCTTTGTTGAATAATTTTGGGTGATAGCCCGGACACTGTGACTATTATGTTGTAAAGACTCTACATTCTGTTATATTTCTCCAAGGAGTGTTGACACTTTGTTTTAGCAGATAATTAACTTGATTTAGACTCAGAACGCCAACCATTGTGCCTGTGTTAGGTAGCGGCTCAGATCTCTGATCGGTTCTTGAAGCCACAGGAGTCAGCTGCTTTCAGCTTGTTCCATGTATGTGTGATTCAGAGGTCAGTCAGGGACTTGGGCTAGGTTCATACATACAATTTGAAATTCTCTTTTTCTTGTTCTCTTCTTTCTGAGGTTTACTCTTATTTTCCAGAAGCCTTGGTTGTCCTGGTTCCTCTGGTTAGAAGGATGATGGACTTTCTACCAGAATTTAGGCCATCTGCACCAGTGTTGCTGCAAATGTGGTTTCTCTCAGGGCGGAGCCGCAATAAACAAGGAACTCACGCCAGCCGGGCCACTGGCTTCAAATTGTACTCCCCTCCAAAATATGCCTGTTTTTGTTCAGTCCTCAGAGTTCTCAGGTAACTTTTTGTTGTATTTATTTCCTAAGAGTTTATAGATGCTATTTGGCTTGGCAGGAGTTTGCTCTTTTATACCAGAAGCGGAACTTCGCTTAGTACATGTTGAGTGTCCATTATCTGAGATGTTTGGGACCTGAAGTGTTTTGGATTGTGGATATTTTCAGATTTTGGAATATTTGCATATACATAATGAGGTATCTTGGGGTTGGGACCCAAGTTTAAGTATGAAATTTATTTATGTTTCATATACATCTAGCCTGAAGGTAATTTTATACAATCTACTTTTAATTTTGTCCATGAAACGCAGTTTCTGCACATTGAGCCTCTGGAAAGCAAAGGTGTCAGGTGTAGAATTTTCTGCTTGTGGTGTCATGTCAGTGTTCAAAAAGTTTCAGATTTTGCAGTATTTTAGATTTTGCATTTTCGGATTAAGGATCCTCAACCTGTACTTTTAAAAATGTTGTAAGTGTCAAGTTCAGGAGGAAGTCCAGCTTCTGGAGCAGGCCCAGATGGGATTAGTTTTGTAATAATCCTTCAACAGTAATTGCTCAACTCCTCTATAGCAAAACCTGCCTTTTCTGGGTTGAGGCTGATGGCAAGGCTCACTGTTTAATGATGATTCCTTCTCCAGAGGCCATCTGCACCAGTGTCTCTCAGGTTCTGAGCCTCACTATGGCCACTGCTAGCCACATGGAGCTAGATGGAATCAGGGCAGGGTCAGGTGTCACATCTTCCATCTATGAGCCGGCAGGACTGTGCTCAGCAAACATCCCAGTCTGCAGAGCAAGTGTAGAGTTGTGAAGGCAACATCTCCTTAAATCTCCCTTATATGAGGTTTCCCTTCAGTCTGACAGTAAGATGGCCACCTTACCTCCAGCAGGGGAATGGTGTGTCTACAAAAGCACAGGGAAAAGGGAGCAAAAATGAAGCTCTGTTTCCTGAATCCTGGGAAATTCGGCCCTTGGATCCAGCCATATTTTCTGCCTTTTGTGTAACTTTCACACTAAGTTGTGGTCTTTCTCAAATCCCACTTCTTTCATAAAGGCCTTTATGATTGTCACTAATCTCGTTTAAAAAGTCTCTCCAAGAAGTGAATGTTTGTGGACTATGTTATCCCTGTTTTGCCGTTTAATAATTTCAGATGTACATGTCCTATCTTCTCTATTAGTCTGTGATAATTTTCAGGGCAGGATCCCATCTCGTGAACAGTTTATCTACCGATCAGTGCCTAACGTAGGACATGTTATTAGAGTAGAATTGGTTTGAACTTGAAACCAGGAACACATGCTGACAGCTCAGAGCTCTGGGCTTGCTGTAGAAAATAAGGTCTGTGAATTTGTGTCTGTAAATTTCACTGCAGGTGGTCACAGAGCAATTTTACGAGGCGAGGGCTCCAAGTTTGCAGTGCAGACTATTAGGAGTAAAGCTTTAAAAGAAGTAAGTAAATGATGGACCCGTGTATCTGAAGATTTAAGTCGAGGAGTTTAAAGCCAAGATGAGAGTTATCAAGAAAGTAAACATGGCTATTTCAACAGCTTAGGGAGTTAGCCAAGTTAAATCCTGGGGCATGATCATGGATTTTAATTGAAATTAAAATGTAACATCAATGAAGAAGACAGCACTGAGTAAGAGTGGCACTTTATTCTCATCTTGTACACAAAATGCCAGCCCGACTTTTTCTCCCAGAAGGTTCTGTGAGCCCAAGGAATTTTCTGAGCAGGGTGTCTCCAGATCAGCAACTAGTGTTACATTATTGTCATTCTAGTCACAAATGGTTTTTAGACCTTCTGTGTCCATTAGTTTTGTTTCCTGACCTAACAGAATCTACTGTTTAAATTGCCTTGCCAGGAGTGCCGTCGGCCTTGTTGTGTTCCGTAGGCCTTTTCTCCTGAGCCATCTTGTGAATAATCCTCACTGATTTCTCCGTCCACTGAAGTCCTAACACTTATCATCCATGCTGCCCACGGACTCATCAAGTCATGATGTCTTGTCTTTGATGCCCAGCTGGTTCAACTCACTCACATTACACATGAGAAAACCAAAGCCCAGAGTGCCCCAGTCAGTTTCCTAAGGTCATGCAGTAATTTGGTAGCAAAATTGTGATTAGAATCTGAATCTCCACTGACAGTTTGGTATGCTTCCACCTCCATGGCACTGCTCACACTTACAATTATAAACATATAATCATAGAAATAATAATGATAATAGAATAATAATGTGGTATATTTGTATAATGCATTGTACCTTATTTCTTAAATTATTATTATTTTTTACTTCTATCGAGAGTACTGATTTGGTTAGAGGGCCAGTTCTTACAATATTTGGTCCCTAGAATTGAGTTCTATTTATAAGAAAGTCTTTTAAAAATACGGACAAAAATTGTTTGTATTCATGGTATACAACACGATGTTTTGAAATGTGTCTCCACTGTGGAAAGGCTAAATCAAAAGCTCTGTTTTTGGCTGGGAGCATTTATTAGGATTTTCCATGGCCTGGAGAGAATGTGCCGACCCTGTCTTCCTTCCCTTGTTATGCCTCTGTGCTCACCAAGCAGCCTTCTGAGGACTCATGTGGTCTTGCAGGAAGGAGGTGAGCTGGCTGGAGAATTTGAGTATATCACTTCAAGCCCCGGAAAGAATAACTCCCTGAACAAATGAACAAACCGGCATTCCAGTTTCTCAGTCTCGGGAAACTTTGACTTATGTGAACCATCCCCTGAGACTGGTTAATTTGGAGGGATGGACAGAACTGTGTTTTAGAAGCTGCCCAGCTAGGATCAGATCTTCACTGATGACGGCTCTGTGGAGCCACGACTGTGTTGTGGGGCCTGTCGGGTGTGCCCACTAATCACAGCTTCCTGATGAGCTACTTGATTTCCGGTTCTGTTTGGTACACCCCATTTTATGTAGAGCTAAGGTACTTTCACAGGCTGGGTTTAGTACTCACAAAGCTTGATTACAATATCAGGCCAAGGACAGGCCAAGAGGCCCCGCGAGGCAATCCCCAACAGCTGTGAGACAAAGGGGATGCCTGGCTTTTAATTCAGGTGAGGGCAGATTCCAGTTAGAAAAAAAATCCTGAAGCCAATGAGACTTTGCTACCATTTATCAAAAAATCTCGTTCTCACCTATATTTAGGACAAACAGCAAGTGGGCCTGGTACTGTGCCATCAACTCAAACCACCCCAAAACTCAGAGGCTTCAAACAACAATCACTTATTCTCAGGGACCAGCAGGTGAGCAGGGGCAGCTTTCCATCAGGTTGCAGTGATGGGGTGGTTCTCCTTGACGCGACCCTCCTGCCCAGCCTGGGACTGGTAAGCCAAGCTGGGCTTGTTCTTTCCACAGTGGAGTCACAGGGGCAGGCAGAACGGCCCTAATGTGCAAGCACATTTCAAGCCCCAGCTTTCTCATGTCTGCTGCATCCCATGGGCCAAAGCACCTTACATGGCTGAGTCCAGCTTCAAAGGCCAGGGACCTGCCTTGTTGTGGGAGGAGCTGTCAGGTTACACAGCAAAGAGTGTGGGCACAGGGAGGGCAGGAGGACTGAAGACATTAAGGCAAGCAGTCCCCAGGGCCAGCTGTCTATTTGGAATTCTTGGTGACAGGCTTCGTTATTCACAGTCCCTGGGAAAGGTTTCTCTGCAGATAGGGTCCTTTTATAAGAGAATGTGGTAACAGTTTGGCAGTTTCTCAAAAAGTTAAAAGTAGAATTATCATATAATCCAGCAATTCCACTTCTGGGTATATCCCCAAAAGAATGGAAAGCAGGGACTCATATAGACACGAGGACATCAGTGTTCACTATGACATTATTCACATTAACCAAAAGGTGGAAACAATGCAGACGTTCCTTGAAAGATGAATGGATGCGCAAAGTGTGGTATATACATGCGATGGATTAGTATTCAGTCTTAAGGAGGGAGATTCCGACACATGCTGCAACATGAATGAACCTCGAAAACGTTATGGTAAGTGAAATAAATCAGACACAAGGGATGTGTGTGGGATGACAAATACTGTATGAATCCACTTAACATGAGGTACCTAGAGTAGTCAAATCCATAGAGACAGAAAGTAGAATGGTGGTTACCAGGGGCTGGGGGCAGGGGGAATGGGGTTATGGGGGAGGGTGGAAACATTCTGTAGGTGGAGTGTAGTGATATGGAGGGTGGTGATGGTTGAACAATGTGAATGTACTTCATGCCACTGAATTATATACTTTAAAATGATTAGAAGGGCGAGTTTTCTGTTATATGTATTTTACCGCAATGAGAGAGAGAGAGAGACAGACAGAGAGAGCGCTTGCTTGGCCATCAGATCTTCAGAGATACCTGGAGCATCAGATGTGCAGAGAGGGTGTGCAGATCCTGCCATCAACCCTGGTGGGAAGGCCTCTGTGTCTCAAAGATGAGAGAAGGAAGCTCAGGTCTGAAGTATTTGGATTACATATGCTTATGAAATTTTATTTGCAGAATTAAATTTATTTGGCCAGGCTAGAAGCTTGCTGACTTTGTAGAAACTGTCTCTAGCTTGTGTACGCAAAGTCCTGGGAAATGGGAGGATTCAGGACCCAAGGAGGTAAAATTAGGACAATTCGGGAGCTGACGAAATTGTGGTCTCTTTTCTCGCCTTTTGTTAAATGAACAACATAACAGATGCACGGGGGAGGATGGTGGACCCAATAAAGCCAGTGAAGTAATAATGGAAGCCAAAATGGGTACTTAATGACACCTGCAGAGTTTGTCTGGGGAAATGTCAGGTTTTGGTGGGAGAGATGCCCAAACCTTTCTCTTATGATAGTTGGGCTATTAATATATTTTCTGAGAAGAGAAAGCTAGTGGGTGCCCCAAAACCTACCAGCTTCTGGTTTAGGGAAGTAGGTTCACCTATATATTTGGTTTTCTTTTTTTCCCTCACAAATATAGTCTTCAGAAATATGCCAGTGACATTGATATCTCAGTGTGGTGAGGGAGGAAGGAGGCGTTTGTCTTTAACCTCGACAACTGAAGAGGACTTCCTTTGTGCAAAGCTTCCGTGCCTTTATTGTTTTCTCTTTTCCCTGTCTCTCTTGTCCCCTATCTCCCTGGACTTGGAAAGAGAGAGATTCTAAATGGCTACCTTTCTATGTGACAGCATTTTTAGGGCGTCTACCTGGGAGACCAGGGTAGACACAAGCTGAGGAAGCGGTACATTGTCTGATTAGTTGTACCTGCTGTTAGACCTGGCTCTAGGGCAGAGCATCGGCTTGGGATGAGAATAATCTTTATTTATTTCTCTGATGAGTCTGGTGCTCTTTGCTTGAGAGCTCTGGGCCTTGGCAAGTTGGTTACCACTAGGCTCTCTGAATGCACAGACCACCATTGTCTGCGTTCCCTGGAGATGTGGAACTAAATATTTCCTTGGCATGGCCTTTTCCTCAGGCAAATACATCCTCATGAAAGTCTGGGTATGACCAGAGTCCCAAGAACCATAGGCCTGGGTGTCCGGCTGTGGTTCCTGAGGGCAGAGCAATAGAGGTATTGCAGAGCAGACCCAGCAGCAACCAAATCAAAGGCCCAAGGAGGGTAACTGGCTAGGCTGCCTGTGGTCCTCCGTAATGGAAAGTGAAGGGACATTTGGTGAGTCATCACCGGAGCATCCACGGGGCTTGGGCAGAGGCCGCTGGGAGCACTGCCTGCTGTTTTCCAGGACTCTGTCGTCCAGGCCCAGCCCCTCCTGATCAATGGAAATACATTCCTGCTTGTTCTAGTCTGGTGCCTAAGATGAACTCTCCCATTTCCCCCTTCTCTTGCTCTAGACATCTCCCAGGGACAGAATGAAGTTGTGATTCGTATTCGTTGTCCTCAGAGTGAAGACTTGTCAGAGATCTGTTAGGAATGATGTGTTAACAGGGATAGGAAAATGAAAACTGGAAAAGCCTCAGGTGGGCCATGGGGGAGGTGTGAGGGCACCTGTGGCGAAGCTGTTCACAGACTGATGGTTTTGGAAAACTATGTTTACTTTTTCTAAAATAATCAATATGTATGGGTTTTAAGGATTAAAATTTGCAAATTCTCTGAAAGGTAGGAAGGTAGTTCTTAGATATCTGTGTAATTTCAGTGTTAGGAGGGTGCATAGGAAGTTATTTCACCCATTTCCTTGCCTTTAGGCAGGACCAACCAAGACACCTGACTCAATTCCAGCCTATTTAAGAAAATCTTGGCTGGGCATGGTGGCTCATGCCTGTAATCCCAGCACTTTGGGAGATTGAGGAGGGCAGATCACCTGAGGTCAGGAGTTCGAGACCAGCCTGGCCAACATGGTGAAACCCCATCTCTACTGAAAATAAAAAAAAATTAGCCAGGAGTGGTGGTGCATGCCTGTAGTCCCAGCTACTTGGGAGGCTGAGGCAGGAGAATCGCTTGAACCCAGGAGGCAGAGGTTGCAGTGAGCCGAGATTGTGCCACTGCACTCCAGCCTGGATGACGGAGTGAGATTCCATTTAAAAACAAAAAACAACAACAAAAAAACTCTATGTAAAAAAAATTGCTTGTCTTGTTTTTGTAGCAATGTTTGTTGAATATTTTCTATGTTCCAGGCACTGATTTCTTGACATGCAGCATCTCCTTTAATCCTTGCAATCACTCTATGAGAAAGGTATTGTTATTATCCACAGTATACAGACAAGAAAACTGAGGCACAGAGAGGTTAAATCACTTGCCCAAGCCCATGTGTTGTTTAGTTAGTGGCTGCTCTGGCAGTGAGCCTGGGCGTCTGACTCCACAGCCTGAGCCTGGAGCACTGCTTCGGAGCCGTTCCTCAGGATCTCACTTTGGTATACCTTCTGCACTGTTGTCTCAGGCTGCCATAACAAAGGGCCACAGATTGGGTGGCTTAGACAACTGAAATTGATTTCTCACTATTCTGGATGCTAGATGTTTGAGATCAAGGTGCCAACAGCGTTGGTTGCCTGTCTTTGCTGGCACACTGTTCTCAGACTTCCAGCCTCCACGGCTGTAAGAAATACATTTCTGTTGTTTATAAGCCACCCAGTCCATGGTACTTTGTTATAGCAGCCTGAACTGACTATGTCAATAACCATTTAGAGGCCCCCTGGGAAGGGACATGGAGTGGAGAGGAGATAGCAGTGTGGGGGCCCTGCTCCCGTTCTTGTGGGCTTATGCTGTCCTGAGATTTTATTCTCTCGGAGATTTTTATGAGTTAGTAAATACGGGTTTTCTTTCCCATTATGGAGTGGTTGTCTCTCTTGCGTAGAGGAGAGGGGATGGGTGTATATGATCGTGGCTGCTCCTAGACCTTAATTAGCCTGAGATTCTTCTAGGGTAACCCCTCTGTTGAAGTCAGAGTTTTTCATGTCAGAATTTTATCTCTTTCCAAGGTACAGCCAGAGCCCTAGGAAGGGTTTGACTCTATTACAATATACTCAACTTGAAACTGTAATAAAAATGATGCTGCTGAATTGCAGATAGAGCAAGCAAGTGAGCGAGTGAGCGTGCAGGAGTGAGCAAGCAGCATCTGTTGAATGGTGAACCCCAAGAGTTCAATTACCCCAGTTCTAACTGCAGAAGGTAACCATGGAAACCTCATAATCCAAAGCATCACCAGTCTTCAAGCACACATATATATGCCTCAAGAGAACAGTACGTATGTGTGAGTATGTGTGCATGTGCCTATGTTTCAGTTATTGTGTGTGAGGGGTGTGTTTGTGCAATACCTTGACAGTGTGTGTTGTGTGGATATCACGTGGAATGAGTATGGGCGTTTTCTGCCCTGCTTTCTGGTTCTGTTCTCAGTGGTGGTGAAAGAGTGCAGATTTGTCCCAGTGTTTGGCTGTTGCGCTCAAAGATGGTTAGAATGTGGGAGAGGGCCTGCAACTTCAGCTTAGTGGAGGGCAATGTGGTGGCAGGGTTTGGGCACGTAGGAAGGCTTTTAAGTTATCTCTTTCCCATGTCAGGTTTCTATTGCAATAAAGTGTACAGGAGTTGAATTTTTCACCAGCTGGGAGGTATATTCCTGTGGAATGGAGAAACAGCGTGGATCCATATCGAACTTCTCAAACAATCTAATGTGGATATAAATCCAGGTTTGGGTTATCATTTTTACAACACAGTGTCTTTTTTCAGGGTACGTGTGGGTCTTTTTGTATTGTTTTTTCTTTTCTAGCTTTCTGCTTTAAACCTCATTCTTTTTCTGAAGCTTGAGGCTAGCTGCCTGTTGCATGAGGGGTATGTCAATATTGCAGTTGGGGAGGGTGGTGGGGGCAGCCCATGGAAGTCTGCTAATGAAATGTGTCACTCAGTGTGTGCACAATGTCAGGGAGACTGTGTGTCATTTGGCAGATGTTTGAGTGTATGGCAGCTCCATTTGGATTAAGAATTATTTGTTGGGGGAGGGTACTGCATGAAGACTGGGGCTTCAGACAGGCATTCCTAGGTTTCTGAGTGGTGAATGGTGGGTGGGGGGGCACACACCACGCAAAACCTGGCCTTGTGTTTGAGGCTGTCTCAACTTAATGGTAGCTCTGTACACACAAGCATAAGGAGTTATGTGTATGTGTGTTTACCAGCTCTGTCCCTCCCGCTTTGCGTGATGTATGAATGAAAGAGAATGCATTAGGAAGCATTGGGAAGCAACTCTGTCTTTTGAATTCTTGCCTTTCATTCACATTTATAGCTAAGGGTTTTTAAAATATAGAGGTCTTATTTGTCCATCAAAAGATGATGGCCAAAAGAATCTTTTCTGTTTTTAAAGCAAGCTGCTTCCTGGATGACAGAAATCCACATTGGCATCTCCCAGCAGGGGCTTGAAGCACTGCCCACATGGCCCATGTTCCTGTGGTAGCACCATCCCAGCCTCCGTCTGCTCCCAGGAAGAAAGGGTCAGGCTAAAAGGCTGGGAGATATTTGATGTCAGGCAGTTGCTTGTAGCTCTGACACCAGGAAGGGAACTCCTAGTACTGGGTGTGTAGAGTTACCTTTTGAGTTTGCCCAAACGGCACCAGCGCAACCCCAGAGATGGGCTGAAGAGAACCACCCACCTGGCATTGATTACTTGTCCCATTCCTGCTGCTGCCCATCCTCACTTCCTTCAGGAGCTGGGTTGTCCACCCAGGATGCCTGAAAGATGCCCTTGCTCTTGGCCCGCCACCTCATTAAAGCAATCCAGGCAGGAAGAGGCCTCCTTCACTCCATCTGCTGTAGTACAGGGGAGGCTCCCACCCGGGCTTCCTACCCTGAACACGCAGTGATTCAGAAACCTGTGGCTTTACTTTATTTACTCTTTCATTCAATGACTGCTTCTTACGTGCCTTCCAAATGGTGGATCCTGGTGATACGGCAATGAAGAAGGCACTCTTTTTGCCCACAGTGAGCTCATACGCTAGTCAAGATGCCAACAAATGAAAAGGCAGTTATAATACTATATAGTGAGATAAGGTGCAATAGGGGCTAACCCAGGACACTATGGGAGCTTATAAGAGGGGCACTAGCCCTGTTTTGGGGAGCAGGGAGGTTTCTTAGAAGAGCTGATGTCTGATCAGTAACCTAAAGGATGAAGGGGAATTATCTGAGTAAAGAGAGGTGACGGGATGCTTTCCAGCAAGGCGGAATGAGGGATTTCTTAGAAACATAACTGCTTCACAGGCGAAACCTCATGGTAAATTGTTTTTATGAGAGATAAAAAATGAGGGGTTGGGGGAGAGAGAAATGGAGAAATTCAGGAAGCAAACAAGCATGCAGAGAGAAGAAGAGACAGAGAAAGCCGGGCAGAGAGGAAAAGCTGAATGGTCAAGAGACGGCGAGACAGAGAGGACCACAGAATCAGGTGCCGTTAGAGAGAGGACCACAGAATCAGGCACTGTTAGAGAGAGGACCAC